GGGGGGGGGGAACTGGATGAAATGCTGTAGGTGAGATTGCATGCTCTCTGACGCAATGCAGCAACCCTGAAGCTGTTCCATGAGTGCCTTATGTTATTCCAGCCTATCCGACCTGTGGGTATTATTCAAATGTGAATTCGTTCGTGTGTGTGTGTGTGTGTATGTGTGTGTGCAAAAAAATGAATTACAAATAAAATAAAAATAAAACCCTTTGCAAACAGCCGTAGTTCGCGTTTTGATATCTTCCCCTAAAGCCTCAACGTGAATCGTTTCCTTTCTATGCGTTTGTATGCAATCAAATTCTGCCAATGTGAGCACCGGCGCCCTAGCTCACATTCAAGCCTTTTGCATACAGTGTTAACAAAACAATTACCGAGGTAAACGAATAGTTCTCAGACATACTGACATGCACATACACTATGACTTTCTAGTATAAGTTGCAGTTTAACAAATTCAATTAATTCATATTTAAGTAACAGCTTTCTGTCGAAATCGAGAGAGTCGCTTTTATCGCATGCGGGTCCATCTTCACAACCTTGACCTAAGCACTTAAACAAACATTAAATAATTCAAAATATCATATTAAGCAGGCTCCAAGTATATGCCATTCACTGCTTCAACACACCGATGCGGGCTTGTTGATGACATTTTTTAGTACATTGTAACCTATGTAGGACACCCTTGAATTAAATGTGGAGGGTATATATTTATGAAGCAAAAATATTTTTCGTCTACACATGGCGTCCACAGTCTTCTATAATTTGGCCTGGTGTTTTACTCTCATTGTATCGCCGTATGCGATCCTATGCCGGCGCAAGGTATCTATATACTAGAACATGCATTATTGAATAACAATTCTGCCTTTAACATTATGCTTACGCTTATGCTGCACCAAATTCGCAAATCACGGGATTTGGACCTCGTGTCGTTTACCTGCGACACTAAATGATAGGCAGCTTAACCGTGGGCATAGCTAGCGTCCGTTTCTACATATGGCAGTCTTGGCGGACATCCCTAGTGCGTAGAGCTGTGTCTGGGCCGCAAAGTAAGGCAAAATACCAGGACTGCGTATTTGGTTTTCATGAGAATCCAAACATTCATCCTGCAAGTGGATGTTGAGACCTGAATACGAAAGGTGGTTAATGATCCGGCTATGATGATCTAGATTTCGGTATAAGGATATTAAAAAGAGCACATTGTCATAATATCAGGAAAATATTAAGACAAAATTAAGTTTTTTCTTACTGCCATGGATACCCAGGCAAGCTTGTTAGCTGCTCTATTTTTGCTGGCATCAGAAATGGGAGTGTTGAGTCTGCCGCTGTTGGAAAGCAAAGAAAATGAGTCGTCGAATATACCAGGTAAGTGATAAAAGCCAAATATCTATATCATTGTAATGGGTTCAATTTAGAGGTTGCGCTGAGACTCAAGTCCATAAGCAGGGAAGGGGCAGTGGGCTAATAAAAAGCCCCTTGCGGGTCGCAAAAGTTCGCTCTGAAACAAAATGTAATCTAGGCTATACGAAATAGGTCTACATGTATGGCATTGCTCGAGATGGACAACGGCACAAAGAGTTCCACTTTCTCAGAAAAAGACAATCTTTGAGATTGGCCTGTTAAATGCTAGTACTAAGATAACTCAATGTAGGCTTTTCATATTCGTTATTATTGTGCTAGTCACACATGTAGAGTCCAGTTGCTGAGTATTTTTCACTCTAGAGATGACGTAAGACCACCAATGCTAAATATCTTGTTTTTCTTTTCTTTTTTTTTTTTTTTTTTGACCCCACGTTGTGTTTACCTACTTAAAGTATAAAACGTCTTCACAGAAGAATAATTATTAAAAAGAATAACACCATTGGATCGGCGATTAAGTCCAGTACGTTCTGGATACATACCGGCTACATTATATATTATTTACTATGCACTCTCTGAATATATAACTCAATTTCAGTTTATGTACTGGTATATTCATTTTATGACCTCGTACATACATGTAGCAATGCAATATAATATCATTGATAGATAAAACATAATGCAAAAATACCTGCACGTTTTTCTATATAATGCAATCAAGGCTTTATTGCTAATCTCATATGTTTTTCGCATATTCATTGATGCTGAAGATTATCATGTTCTATTTGCATCTTACTAGTAAGTACATACTAGCATATTACTAGTATAGTGCAGTTTCAGGTTAATCACACTATGAAATCCTTGTATTTTCGAGCAGGGGCCCTGGCGCGGGCAGCGATCAACGAGAAGACGGCAGAGAGCCAAATGGCGAACACAACCGCGTTGACTCTCGAAATCACAGAAAACATCGGGAATTCTTCTGTTGATCAAGAAAAAATCAACGAAACTGGAAGCCACAACGCTTCAGAAAAAGACCCTATCGCCGTAAAAGAAAATAAGGACGATGTCAAGAACAGGACAAAGTTATTTCAAATGCCACCTTCGCCAGAACTTCCCGATCTCCCTGCTCATGATCGGAAAGCTAATATAACGGGACCGGAGGATCCATATATTGCAGCGCCTGTTCACAGACTTTGCTACGAAAATATCACCTATGTCAAAAACTCCTCGGGGCAAAACATTTTGGTTGGATCGGGTAGTTTTGGGAGTGTCTACCTTGCGATGTATAAAGAAACGTATCCGGTGATCGTTAAAGTTTTCCATAAGCATACTGCAAAGAACACAACTAAAAAAAGACTCAAGCAGACTTTTCACGAGGCTCGGTTATCCGCCATGTTACAGCCGACAGGACTTCTTCCAAAGTTTTACGGACTTGTCCGAACGGAGATTGACGGGGAGGTAGAATTCGGTCTCGTGCATGAATATTACGCCAACGGCATGACAGTTTTGAAACTCCTAACGGACAACAATAGCCCAGAACTTGAGAATGGACTACAACCTGACTGGTTACAAATCTGTCTCAAACTTGTGCAATCTATTGATCGCCTTCATAAAGAAGATGTGTTGTTCAACGATATAAAACTGGCAAACATGCTGGTAGATATGTCTGGCAGAGAACCCGAGGTGAAACTGATAGACGTAGGGAGCGCCAGTTACAGACGCCCTCATATGTACAGGGCAGTGCCACCTGAGGAACGAAAACGGTTTTTCCATCTGGCACCGGAAGTGCTCGACGACGTCCCGACCAGCGTGAATTCGGATGTCTATTCAATATGTAAAGCTCTAAGACGGGTAATGGCGTTTAAACCGATAAGTGACGAGCTGACAAGATATGCGAGTTACTGTCTGGACGCGGACCCCAAAGACAGGCCAACGATACCGGACATCATTGACAAATTGCACATGATAATCTCTGATACTACAGACAGCACTTTAACCAAACTTTTAAACAAAAAGGACGAGTTTGAGTTTACTCACAAAGAGTTCTTGTTTGGACTGACTCTGTCGCCATTTTTCGCATTGGCAGTAGTGGTGGTAAAGGGACTGTATTATCGTAAGCATCATTTGGCATATAAGCAACATAGTCTATGATCATTTAATTTTTATCTTTTATGATGATTTTTTTTCAAGTATCATATTATTCATTTTTCTTCATAATCAATAATGCACGTAGGAAACGGATACACCTTTCTTTCGTTGGGTGTTCACCAAAAGCACTCGACTGGCCAACATCAGTCTTTAAAACTTACAAGGTATCAAGTACATGTAGTAGCCTACTGTGTAGTTTGTCTTTATATTTCTGATATCCATTAACACGATATTGTTATTATTGTAGGTTACTTTTATTTGATTCACTGGTGCAATCGGTGCCCAGGCAGGGATTGTAAATTATTTTGGGTTTTTTGACATGAAGTAAAATGTAAATCAGTTGCTAGTATTCGTTTAGTGTACCTGTTCAAAGTATAACTGATTTTGAAGACTAAATGTCTATTTGGGATTCTAGTGACAAATTGCTTAGCTGCAAGTCATCAAGGATTGGGTCCTGCGAGGTTCAATGGCACTGAAACAAATGGAGGCTCATTCCAATACACCCTTCTGCTGTTTTATAGTTCTAAGGTTTAATTTGAATATGTTGAATATAAACGTTGTACATGTACTAGTAGGATAAGAGTACTTGTTTTTAAGTCTTCGGACAGAAAAGAGAATTGAGCGGGAGATTAAGGGAAAGATTTTGATATATAGCCTCAACATATAGAATACCTTCTGAAAAAAAATTAATGTCTAAATTACGGCAATCGACCCAAGTACCGTTATAAGTTAAAGAAATAACATCTCTTCTTATGAGACCAATATTTCACAATAAATACATTGTACACAACTCATAGAAATATAATATATTCTACATGTATTTTACTACAAAAACACCAGTTATAGCAATAATTTTGAAATCTGTGCTTGTCATCGGACCACGTGACCTCTATAGATGGCTATACTCTTTAATAATCTCTTTCGAGATTATTACAAAAAAAAAAAAAAAACTTTTTAGAAAAAAAAACAGGGACTAACTCTGAATATTGAATTCATTAACCATTGGTAAGCATGGGAAAATTGTCCAGGAAAGCCCAGGAAAATGTATTTGTTACCAAAATGAACAGTTGTTATCCTTTTAAACAATAATCAGCGAAAAAACATATTAGTCTATAAAGTGGTCTCACTTTTTTTCAGTTTCAATTAGGTATTCAAAAAGTGTACCTAGCACGCAAACGGCTCGTTTGGTTAAATGACTCTTTAATGAACTTATAAAATGTTATCTATTTATAATGAGTATATTGTACTTGTAAGTGCAACATTATTCCAAACATTATAATCTCTCTCTCTCTCTCTCTCTCTCTCTCTCTCTCTCTCTCTCTCTCTCTCTCTCTCTCAAAATCGGACTTCTTGTTGTAACAGGGTCAACACATTTATCCACGTTATGAACGTTTAAATACACGTGCACGTGCACAATGACTATTTTCGCACTTGATTCTAACGGAAAGAGTACAAATAAACTTCTTCAATCTTGTCATAAAAATAAAATAAATAATTATCTCGTCACGTCACGTTAACATTAGTGCAACAATTAGGACACAGAAAGAAATAATTTGTTCATTTGTGCGAAGATCGAAGGTCGAGAAACTGAGTTATAATTTTACAGTGGATGACAGTATACTTGTTTGTTACCCCACGAATACTTGAATGATACGCCATACTAAAGTACCAGTAATATTTGACATCTCGAAATTAATTTTCGAAACAGCTTGACCTGGAAAGTGCTACAACATCTAGGCCTACTTTCCGCCTTCTGTCGCCCACCTTGTGTATTCAGAATTTGATGATATCAATACTACAACAGAGGAGACTTCATCAAATCATAAAACATCTAGGTTGGAATCTACTTTAAATATCTTTTCACAACAGTCATTTTTCGGACTGAGTTTTGTTTTGCACCATGAGTTACAATATACAATATACAATTGACTGATATCAAATGACTAAAAAAGGAAAACAAAAGTAAAGGAAAACTGTTAAAAAGGTGAATGATTAAGATGACAACATACTTGTTTGATTCAGTTTTAATAATAACTGGAGTTCACATCAAACGTTAGATTATGGGAGTTGAAGCTCATCACATGGGCCTTTCTTGATTGAAGAGGGCGCCACTGAGAGATTATAACTTTCCAGCGTCAAATATTCCAAAGAAATTTGTCTGGGTACAACCTTGAGAACATCACTGATTGCCATACATGGCACTGTCCGTTTAAACGTCTGTTTAAACGGTAATTGTTTGAATATGTTGTGCGACAGCTCTACGGCAGGAGAATATCCGTGTCGATGGGCGGGGCAGCCACTCCACAGCCGTTCTCTGACGTCACAGAGTTACCCTGGTGCTGCATACGTATGCGCTCTGATTGTGTTTGTATGTGACGTCTTGTCATCCACGCCCTGTACTTTCTTAAAACTGCAGCACGAACCTGTGAAAAAATAGTAGATAAATTGAGATGGAGGTGTTTTTTATATCAAAGCAGCGAGAAATAAAAGATAACAACAAAGTTGTGCTCACCCCCCCCCTCCAAAAAATCAATCAGTTTTAAACAGTTGCGATGTCGTCATGTTAAATAGCCATACGTTATAGAAAGTAGGGGATATCTGTTGCTGATATCCAGCCACTAAAGACTTTACTGCGCTAGTGGCTTTTTAATTCTCCGACGCCAACATCGACTCTATGTAACTTACGTAAGCAAATTATACTATATTTTTCATTTTTATCTATATTTCATTTAATGTTCAGTAATCTATTTTCATAATAAATCCATGCATGAAGACAAGGCATGATACGACATTCACCCTCGTTCGCACAATGAAATTCACTTCATTTTTCGTAATGATGAAAAAAGTCAGGCGAATAGTGTTTTCAAATCACCAGACACGTTTTCCGTGCATATACTGGTACAGTTTATACTTGTTCGCTCCATGTATCACATTTCACCAACGTCATCACCTTAATTCAATTTTAATGCTAGGAATTTACCAGGGTGAGGGGGACGGTGAAGAGAGAGATCACACGGTTGATACACTCACCTCTCTATTCACAAAACAATACAATACGGCGACAAATAGCCCTTGAGTGGAAATCAATATGGCGTTGCAGTACTTGAAGATCTTGTCTGTGAGGGGGTCTTCACTGGGTGGTACCAGAACCAGGACGTACGTCACCCCCAGCAGAGGGAGGAGGATTATGGTGGCACGTATTGCCTTCCTGAGTGAAAAAAAAATAACGATTTCTCGTTATACTTCATGGAATAGTACTTAGTACGGATCGCGAGGATAGGGATAGATGAAGGATATTCAAAGCAAATCGCGGTATCACACACACACACACACGCGCGCGCGCGTGCGAGCGCGCACACACACCTCCCGTCTACCCTTTTGAAACAAATGATAATTTTACGCTATGACATCTTTAAAAACATATCGCACATTTTTTTTACATGATTTCAATATTTTTCAGCACCTGAATCCGTCGAGGGAGGGTGGGGGTACACTCTTCTTCTTGAAATTCAGATATTCTTCATTTCTCAACTAAAAGGCATTTTCCAAGATAGATATCAATAAAAAGACCTTATCCATTTTTCTCCAATGAACCTAAGCAAAACTTTCTAGTCATTTTCCCCTAATATTATGTAATATTCAGATCAGATATCTCACCTGTACTGGCTAGCCTCTGGGAAATGTTCCCGTAGCTTGGCAATCAGAACCCATATTATTGAGATAAGAAAGATGATATTACCCTACAAATAAGATAAATAAGGCAGTTAAGTTCCCTTTTTTTTTGCTTTTTGTGAGTGCAAATCCTGTGTAACACCAAGTTTGCAATCGCTTTAAAACCAATTTTAGTTAACTCGGTGACAACTTTTTTCCAAGCGGGCGCAAGCCAGGTGAAAGAGGCTCTTCAATCCTCACATAAACAAAATGTAACTGTAATTACCAAAACAAAATTGTCGTCCACTTTATCGTTTATACCTCCATTTGTTCACTTAATATTATTATTATTATTATTATTATTATTATTATTATTATTGATGTTGTTGTTTAACCTCTTTTCAATAGCTCACCATACATTCGTTTGAGCGAATGGCCAAGATATCAAAGAACTACAATTACCCACAGGGTACATGTACGTACCAGTAATACTAGTAAAGTCGGAACAACATGGATGTAGTCGATCAACCGATCTTTCATCTCCGTCTCATGGAGGGGCATCCAACAGCTAAGGGAGACAAAACCGAGGTTATTATATGTTAATATGTGTAAAGTCGGTGGTGCACGTGTTTGCTATCATGTATCTCCGCAAAACAACTTCCGTGTCAAGTCAATGGAATTGACTATGTAAGTTTCCGTATGGGAAAATTAGACACTAAAATAGTGAGAAAGTTGCCAGTGGCGCCCCCTTTAATGGCATACAGGCCAAAGAGTTTGGCCTTCTTACTGTAGATATTTATGTAGTTATATCGTGAAAAAATTTTAAAAAATACTATGGACACATGTATGTGAGTCCAATATAAATGTGCGTGCAAATTTTTCAAATCTTATCTTTCCATGATTTTTTTTTCTTGTTTGTGTTGTTTATCCTGTGGAAAGATATTTAAGGAGAAAGAAGTACTCTGCCGGAATACTTACGGAATGTCGCTGATGAAAAACCGCACAAGGCCCCAAACAATTATTACAATGGCTGGAATACCTAAAAGTGAACCCAAATCAAATATGATACCTCAACATCATCATTCTATCTTGCTAAAGACTTCTATAAGTCGTAACTTTTGTAGCCATTTTACACTAACAAACATGTGTACATTTATTTAAGTGGTGAAATATGTTCTTGCCAAGCAATACATTCGTTTGGTAGTATTGCTACCTTTATAATTTTAATTTGAAATAGAGACTTCAAAATAACAGCACTAATAGTACAGAACATACATACTTTTTGTGATATACTCACCCCAGCCTATAAATAAATATAAATAAAACTTTATCTTCTCGCTGGAGTATGCCCAGACGATGATGACGTGGAGGTAGAGACCTTCAATGAAGGTCCAGAAAAAATTGGCTCCAACAGAATAGTTGAGGAAAGCCGTGGCCAGTTTACATGCCCACTAGAAAAAGAATAAACATATTGGTATTATCTCTAATCAGCCAAATTAAAACAAAATCAAAAACGTTCATATTTTCAATCTCAGTTCACTATTCTCAATATGAGAAACAGGAAATATCCGATGCCTGGTGATTTAATACAGAAATCCCATCTATAGCAATGTCTTGACATACGGAATTGTGACCAGAAAACACTGGCGCACAATCAGTTCGTTGTCTCACCAAACACAATTCAGAATTCTTAGGGTTTGTCTCTAGCTTCTTCATGAGATTATCTTGTGGTTTAGCCCAATACACCCCACAGGGACAGTGATATCAGTAGCTACAATAAATCTGTCAACTCTCCCGAATGGAGGATTTATCTCCCAACATCGTGAATCGGACCAAAATTCTCGAAGTATTTTAGTTCGTGAAAACGATAAATTTGCGGTTTTGTCGGTCAAGTACAACTCTGCACTTACCACGCCCTTACATGCAGCTGTCCATTTCAACATAATGTTGAAACCAAACGATTTACTTGAAAACATATTAAAAGCCTGGCCATGGTCTGATCGACTTCATCAAAATTCATAAATATATCACCATCCTTGGATGAAAAACTCGTTCTCTTTGAATACTGTTTTTGCGCGGATGCTCTAATTTCATAAACGACCCTAGCGCAAGGAAGTGTTTTAGTAGTAATCTGTACCTACCTGTGTGACGTCATTGTGTGTGTCGTCAAAGATAGCGGCCGGGGAGAGGAAATGCAAAATAAGCCAGGCCATGTTCCTCAGCAGGAAGGACACGATGAGATGACAGTGGATGGTATTTCGAAGGCACCGCAGGCTTCTGAAACACAATTGTGTTGCTTGCATGGAGACATTCATAAAATATACTAAATATAAATATTAAAACTGGACGTTAGGTATATTTGAAACCCGTCCCTCTCTATCGAATAATGTTTTACTTTGCTTCTGTGGAGAACAGGCCCATGCAATATTCACGAAAACGTTTTCATAAACTAAGTATTGCTCGTCACTTATCTTATTATATCCTATGCGTAAAACAGTTGTGGAATTTAAATACAGCATAATTGAGATAAAAAATGATACATACAAAATTACTACACCTCGCCGGCAGTAAGCTTACCAGAGCATATACTTTTAAAGACGACTATGACTTGATTGGACGCAAATGTGTAGAATGGAGCAACCCCCCACCCTACCCCACCCCCGCATACCGTAATTTCATGTTAGAGCCAATGAAACTGGTACGATACAGAAAACTGTACCGCTTGATGTGAAACTGGTACGACACAGAAAACTGTACCGCTTGATGTGAAACTGGTACGACACAGAAAACTGTACCACTTGATGTGAAACTGGTACGATTCAGAAAACTGTACCACTTGATGTCACTTGATGTGAAACTGGTACGACACAGAAAACTGTACCGCTTGATGTGAAACTGGTACGATACAGAAAACTCGATGTGAAATGGACCGTACTGTACAGCATAAACTGACCTGAAGTATAGAAATATCGCCAAGGCCACTAGCAGAGTTAACGTTGACAGGCCAAACCCTGTGAAGTAGATACAACTAAGGATCGTGCTGTGCAATTCTAAATCCTAAAAAAAATTAAAAGAAACGTCAACATAAAAGATACAGAATGACATCCATGATAAGAAATACATGTAATAGTACTTATAGGCTAGATTCAATACTTCTGCAGCACTCACAATATTGAACATATTCTTATCAAGAATATGATATCAAATGACGTACGAAAATTAAAAAAAAAACTATACCAATAAGTTACAGATAATTCAGTCTTCTTTTAAAATATATATATAATATAGGTCGAAACAAACAAGTTCTGTTCCACTTCTACATATTGTCTGACCAAAGGGTAATCAAAGCGTCCGAACAAAATAAAAAGAAACCGTACTTGCACTTGTTTCTGGCCTTCATGACCGTACAAAAAGTAACATCTGGACCGATCCACTCTGGTCCACGTACCATTGGGTAGACACGTCCGTGTGGCGTTCTCTGTTGAGAGAAAATAACATTTTCAAGAATACAGGGTATATGGAGAGAGAGAGAGAGAGAGAGAGAGAGACGATATCATGTCCTGGCAATCTATCACTTTTCCCTTGCATCCCTAACAGTAAATGTGAACCACATGGAACACGCGGCTCTCGAGTTGCTGTGTCATGTAAAAACGTCACGCTCTTGTCGAAGCGTACCCCCTCCCTTCCCACGCTCTATCTGATGACAATGTTAAAGTTAACGAAAAACATGAAACAATGAAATAGTAACACTTCAGGGACAGATTGATATATAGGTAAAGACTTTAAATGCAATCATATTGTTTCAAATCATCATGGCCCATCTTTTGAATTCAGGCAGTTTACTATTGTAAGATTTTCCACACAGTTTTACAATTTTAAAGACAACGAGTCATGTATAACTAAGAGAGAGAGAGAGAGAGAGAGAGAGAGAGAGAGAGAGAGAGAGAGAGAGAGAGAGAAATCATGCGTAAGCTCACGTGTGCTGTCCAGAAATACTCCTGCATATTTCGCTGGACATCGGGCCGACAGCCTATGTCCGGCAAGGGTCATCGGCCAGCAGATGTTAGAGTGCCACGACGTGTTACAGTACACATGACCATCGTCTGCAATAAAGAAAATACAGAAAACTGTTTACAGAGGAAACAAAGTCATACTCGTTAAATGTGCCTGTAACTTAGCAGTCAATTCAGTATCACATATGCCTTCACTTGTCCACACATTGTTTACATGTGAGATAGATTCTGTACTGCAAATGCATTGTTGGTGAAATACTGTGCAGCTCTAGTATGAACATGAAAGAAAGGGTTTATATTTTGGAACAATACAACTGATGACGGTTCCTGCTAAACGATGTACATGTATGTGACGACCGTATTCACTTCAAGTAAAGGGTGAGTTCACAATGAATTTATCGCAACAGCTACTGTGCACTTACTCCAAGGTGATTCTCGCTGAATACAAGCATATTAACAGATTAACACACTTCTTTTTTCAACGAACTCGTAAAATCACCCGTTTCTCTGCATTGTGCACAACGTCAGGAGAGGCGTGTAAATATGTTAATCTGGCTGCATTCAGCGAGTGTCCTTGTGGATTTAGTGCTCACTCGGCAAACACATAACGTTATATAACGTTACCATAACGTGGCCATAACGTTTATTTTGGTAAAATTAACGTTTTGGTAACGCAATAATAACGTTATGTGTTTGCTGGGCGGTAGCTGGTGCGATAGACTCATTGTGAACGCGCCCCAAGCATTTTAAGCCAGTATTTCAGTCTACCTTGACCTTTGATAGTGGTAGGTAAGTAGAAACTTAATTAAATTAAAAATCGCGCCCTCAGTTTTATAGGCAGAGAGAAATAGCTACTATTTCAACCAACTGTTAATCTGTATCAATTGGCACATTTCACATTTATCCTGAACAATAGTCGACCAAAGTTTAGATCTTTAAGTTACGACCAACATTCGGTATAAAGTGCCTTTATAGGACCCCCCCGCCCTAGCAACTGCTGTCTGTTATCGAAAAGTTACCTTGTAATAGAGCTTGGTTTCTAATGGATTCTGACTGTCTTAATATCTCAGTGTGCATCTAATTTGCCATTTATCAACTCATATTTGCATCGATTCTTAGACTTTCCAAATGTGTTAAAACAGTCAGTAAGACAGTCAGATCCCTTGTCTAATCACTGCCGTACGCAGTATGAAGACTATGTGCAGAATGTATGCACCCAAGCGCACTTGCTAACATTTGATATATTCCGGCAGTATCAAGTTAATAAAGCAATTACGTGTCGCTTTTATTACGCTTAAAATCACTCAGTAATGAGGAGCCCAGACTACCGCAAAATCCTTTAATATACTAAGTAGAAAAGTAATTGGTCCCTAGGACAAGTGATATGTTTATTAGAAAGAAATAGATCATTTCATGCAGCTGAACGGATACGTGTGGGTTTTATAAAGACTAAGTTTTAGCTAAATTTAACGCATTGAGGTTTAATGAGTAAGATGATAATCTTAAAGCTCCTGGGTTGCAAACAAAAACTTTAAACTTTCTTCTTGCCTTCAGACTCTATAGTTTTTAAGTACATTGGGAGAATGTTCCATTCATTTGGTCCATAGACTAGTAAAGCTAGGCCGCCGAAGGTTTCCAGTCTGGCGAGTTTTGCCATTACTTCACGAATAAGAAACACTGCCCTTAGCGGCCCCTTGATCACCAGAAAACACATGTAAATAACTGGCCTTGGGCACCAGAAAACACTGATTCGCGAATGTCACTGTACGACAAATGAAATGATTTGCACCAAATTTGCACAAAATTATCAGAATTTTCCGGCACTCCAACTAATGGTGTAAAGCGCATAATTATTCATACCAACATAACGTTTCAACCGTCATTACTGAAAGGAAATACCTGTCATTTTTTACAGGCAAGGTCAATAAAACAATCAATGCACGCCACTCTGTTCGGTTTTAAAGGTGACATACCGATAGAGCTCTCTTTAAATTGGCCCAGCACGCGTCATGCAATGTAACTGATAAATGCTGAGTATAACGAAAATGACATGGAATATTCATTGCGTCTAACTGTACGTGATTCCAACGCCTGTCTTAACCATTACACCTCTTAACAGCAGCTCATTAACTGAAAACAGTCAGCCTCACTTACAGGTAAACCTCTGGTAATGTGGAGTGGAGTATAGTGTTTGAATTACCATGACGACGATTGATGAAAAATCATCTTTCCGGTGTTCTGTTTGATCTTGTCGCTTCCACAAACTAAAAAGAACATACCGGCATATCTTATATGACAGTGGAGTACAACTGCGCGCATGCGTGTATGTGTGTGTGCGTGTGTGTGTGTGTGTGTGAGTGTGTGAGTGTGTGTGTGGAGAAAGATGGTGCAACGCTTCACTAACAGTGCCCACCCCACTACAATGCAGGATTTATAGGTTGATGATATAAAATTAATACTTAAAATCATGCCTCCACCCAATCTGAACAAACTGTGTACATGTATATAGGTGAAAAGAAAAATAGCCTATTAAATATCTCGTTTCTGAGGCAACCTTTCATTCCGCCAGCACGTGACGCAGGGTGAAAATGTTGTTTTTAGTGATTTAAATGGCATCGGTAGAATTAGTCACAACAAAACAAAAGAAAAGGAAACCAGCACAATATGTACGACTCCTGGTTTATCAATTAACGTAAGTCTTCAAATCCAGACCAAAAAATAAATATGACAACCGTGCTGTACGAGAAGAACCCCCAAGGCATTAAGCAATGAAGGAATAGGCAACTGAGACGTTTTTACTTCGTATTTTGAATAAATGTGCGGTAGTACATGAATATAGACATATATTCTACATTATATTTATTACTTGCGAAAAAACACGTCTTCAAGTGTATTGGTCTGCTGGTTTGCGATTTTTTTCTTCTTTTTTATTGTCAGTCAATAGAGGCCACAGTTTTAGAGTTTTCTATTTATTTAATTATTTACTTTTGAAGAAAGATAATGAACCCAAGATGAGCTGTTTTGATTTTTACATACATGTAAGGATCAGATCGCGATTTGCAACATTTTTAAATTTTGCTTATTTATTCTCTAACGCTTGTATTTTTAACTATTGTCCGGTTGATCGATTTGTTGCAACTGATGCACCTGCATACATTTACTGGAACAAATGTTTATTCGTTTGTCAGTTATAAAAACAATAAGGCTTCGTTCATATGAAAAATCTATCTTCTAAAAATCCATTTTCTATTCGCGGTATCTTGTGATCACGGTCTGTGCCCTGAATACCCCGCGGCATAATCACTGGCAGCGCGAGCCAGTTACTTCCAAAGCTGTAATTAATTCTCGGCTGCGCTCGGAGTGATCACAAGATACCGCGAATAGAAAATAGACTTTTAGAAAATAGATTTTTCATGTGAACGGAGTCTAAGACAACCGTTCTCCAACCTACCACGAAAGCAGACATATGATTCTGGTAGCATTGGGAAAAGAGAACATATATTGAAAGTATTTGAAAACATATTTCACTGTAAAAATCAACAGCCAGTGTGATGTACATGGTATTCCTGCGGGTTAACAACGCTGTTCTTGGTCTTAATGTTTATCGTATTCATATTGTTGCACTCCTAGTGCTACCCGTATTCTACCTGGTAGAAATGAAATGATATATTTCACTTCGCTTTGTTGGTAATTTTGTACAGGCATATACCCTAGCTTGTGCGCTGTGCAAAGTAAACCATGAAATTATACTTTATTCAATTATACCATATCAATTTGTCTAGTTTTATATAAGCAGCGAAATAGCGGCTTATAGTTGTGTGAATCTGATCTAGGCAAAGAAAACCCATGAGTTTGGAATTTTTAAGAGGGAAAGGATGAAAATAACATCTGTGGGTTGTGATCCCTGTGGCAGCAGGTCTCCCACGTATTAGCCTCTCTCAGCCATGGGTGGAAATAATCCCCCGATGCCATAGGAGTAGCATCTGGGGAATCGCGTGGTCATCCCCCCCCCCCACGCACACACGTACACGCGCGACCCAAGTTTATTTTTCAAGCACATCAGTCATAAGTGCAGGATCGAATCAATAAGGCAAATAGAACCCGGCATTCCCCTTTTTGTTCTTTTTAAAAAAATTAATATTTGCTTTGTACATTATTTTGACCTTTATAGCCAAAGGAAGCCATCTATCTATTTATGCATTCACATACCCTTCTGTAATGATTCCCTTGCTCAATTCGCTCTTTGAAAAATAGCTGTATTACATTATTGTCAATTGCATGAATCATTATCAATGACTCACGTATCGCAACAATTACAATCGTTTTGGTGCTTGAGCTTCGGGAGAGGGGGAGGGTCTTTCAATCTGAGCATCATTTTTGTCTGATTCTCAAATAAAATTCATCATTAAACAGATCTCTCATCTCATATATTTTCCGCTATTTTTACCACACAGGCACGCATGCACACACGCACACATACTTAAAATGCACCCTACTTACCTGGTGTGTCTGTGCGTGCGTTTGTGTAGTGTACTTAAGAGCCGTGCAAATTATTTCTATCCTGTGTAACCCCCCTTCTTCTCCTCTGCCCCCCACCAAAGTCCTAAAACGATTGATTTGCAGAGAGAGAGAGAGAGAGAG